GTTCATACGCGTTTATATCTCCTTTTGGCAAAAGTTTGTCCTTGCAGCCACATTTACAGCTGACCTTTTAACAGCACAGGAGTTGGAGGCAATGACCCCCTGCATAGTCAAAAATCTGGTAATAAATTTTAACTACCCCAAAACCTAACTATTAAGAGTCTACTGTCAGGGGCCGGACACAATGGCTGAATCCTATAATCCTAGCCCTCTGGGAGGCTCAGGTGGGTGGATTCCTTGAGCTCAGGAGTTGGAGACCAGCCTGAGCAAGAACAAGACCCCATCGCTAAAAGTACCCAAGCGTTGTGGCAGGTGCCTGTACTCCCAGTTACTCAGGAGGCTGAGGCAAGAGGATCACTTGAGCCCAAGAGTTTGAGGTTGCTGTGAGCTAAGACAAAACACACTCTATAGGAAGGCAAAGTGAGACTCTGTCTCAAAAAAAAAAAATAATAATAATAATCTACTATTGACCAGGAGCCTTATAGATGACATAAACAGCAAAGTAACGCATAGTTTGTGTTATACATATTATGCACATACGGTATTCTTACAATAAAGTAACAGAGAGAAATGAAAATGTTGTTAAGAAAATAATAAGGAAGAGAAATGTATTTACTACACATTAGATGAGAATGGATCATCACAGAGGTCTTCATCCTCCTGGGGAGGGAGAGAGGTTGGTCCTGCTGCCTCAGGGACAGCAGAGGCAGAGAGGTGGGGGGAGGGGCGGGGGAACAGACAGGTGTACTGGATGTGACTTTGTGAAAATACAGCATGATTTTCGCCTTTTTTGTTTTTCCAGTTCTCTAAAAATGTCTCTATACTGATATACTAATCTTTCTTCCACCAGTTGCTTTAGTGTCAGCCCATAGGATAGAAGGATCTGTGCTGTAAAGGAAGTCAAACTCAGTTGTGAGCAGTCAGAGCCCTCCATTGGACAATGGTTTGTTTTCTAGCACCGCCTCTTCTGCGTCTCTGTCCTCTGGCACTAGTTCAGAACCCTCCCTCTCCATCAGGCCATCTTCTGTTCACTCCTCTGGTATGCTGACTTTTAGATCTTGAGTGTCTTGGAGATTAGTGTCTTGAAATTTTTTACCCCCACCTCTGTTGCCATATCCACAATCTCTTTAAGAACACCCTGGATTGGCTCTGTTATAAATCCTGCGAAGTCATGCACCACATCTGGACACAGTTTTTTCCAGCAGGAATTTATTGTTGAAGGCTTGATGACTTTCACTGCTTGTTCTATAACAACAAAAGCATCTTCAATGGTGTAATCCTTCCAGATCTTCATAATGTTCCCTCTATCAGGGTTTCTCTTTCATGGCATGACAATCCTTTCCTTTAGTGCTGTGGATAATGAGGCTTAAAGGCCCTGATGACCTCACATCGAGAGGCTGAATTAGAAACATTATGTTTGGGGCCAAGGAGACCAGTTGACACCTTTGCTGTTGAACTTCTGGGGTTCTGGGTGGCCAGGGGCATTGTCTGATATCAAAGAACTTTACCAGGCAGACCTTATTGGCAAGGGACTTCCTGATCTCAGGGACATGGTTGAAATCACTCCAGAAAAAGGGTTCTTGTTGTCCAAGCCTTCTTGTTGTACAACCAAAAGGTTAGCAGCAGATTTTTGCCCTTCAAGGCTTGGTGGTTAGCAATCCTGATCCTGTGTGTGTGTGTCTCTGTGTGTGTTTTTAGAGAGCCCGGGTCTCACTCTGTTGCCCAATCAGATTACTGTAGCCTCAAACTCCTGGGCTCAAGCACAATTCCTATCCAACTGAATAGGAACAAAACAGTAGAATTAGCGGCCGTAAATCCTTGTGCTCCCTTCTCTTCCTTACTAATAAATATCTTTTGTGGCATTTCTTTTCCAGAGTAAGCCACTTTCATCTACATTAAAAAACCTGTTCAGACAGATATCCTTTCCTAAACGTAATGGCTGCTTTTTTTTTTCCAATGGAGTCTTACTCTGTTGCCCTGGGTAGAGTGCCCTGGTGCCATAGCTCACAACAACCTCAAACTCTTAAGCATAAGCAATCTTCTTGCCTCAGCCTCCTGAGTCACTAGGCTATAGGAGTGCACCACTATGCCCAGCTGATTGTTTCTATTTTCAGTAGAAAGAGAGTCTCACTCTTTCTCAGGCTGGTCTTGAACTCCTGAGCTCAAGCAATCCATCACCTCAGCCTCCCAAAGTGCTAGGATTACAGGCATGAGCCATGGTTCCCGGCCTTAATGGCATTTTCCTGATGGCATCTGGAAAACTCATCTGTAGCATGTTGGTTGGCAGAAGCTACTTCTTTTGTTATCTTGACTGTTTTTAAGCCAAACCTTTTCCTAAGATTATCAAACCATCTTTTGCCGGCATTAAAATTCTTCAGGTTCACATCCTTTACTTTCCCTTTGCCCTAAAGTGTCATATAAAGACTTTGCTTTTTCTCAAATCATATTAGAGTCTACAGGTACATCTTTCTTACAATGATCCTGCACCCACATAAAAGCTACAAGTATTTTACAAAAAGTTCGAGTTTTTTTGTGTCTGTTGGAGTAGCTGTAGCCACGGTTTCATGAATTTCCTTTACTTTCTTCACAGTAGATTCATTGATCTTAAACTGGTGAGAACCCCGGCTTTGGGGCTCAATCTACAGGACATATCAAGCAACTCAACATTTTCTTCTAATGTCATGACTTTTCTCTGCTTCTTGGAAGCACTTCCAGCATGACTGGTGGCTCTTCGTATTGATCCTATAATGTTATTAAAGGTTTACAGTCTCACACTAGACACAGTGAAAAATACACAAAATCCGTGAGAAATCACGGGTTACTACAATATGCAACCTACTGGGGAGACATTGCCTCTGGGGCGATGATTGGTGTCAGGTGGAGTTTTAAGTAAATATGGATACTCAGGTACTCTCAACACTTAAGCTCACCAAATAGACAACAGTAGGTGTCTACAAACTTATTACAATAGTATGGTATAGTCAATTTTATACAGTTATGATTTAATACTACGTCCTTACATGCCTTTACATTGGTTCCAACTGCAAATGGCACCACGTACAGTCTGTGTTTGTGCAAAATTTTTGATAATATTCAACTTTTTATAATATGTGTATATTTTATTGTAGCATGACATAATATGAATTAGTATCTACATACATTTTATGGATTCATGATGTCCTCAACTTTTTCTTAGGTTTTAGAGGCTATGTGGTTCATCTGTGAGTTTTTTTCCAATTGTCACAAATCTCAAAAACATTTTTCAGCTCATTTAGAGAAAAACTCATGTGGTTCAAAGGTTAATTATATTCTCTTAGTTGTTCCTCTTATTTATCTTCATTGTAATTATTCACATTTTTATTGTCGAAAAAAACACCCACCTTTCACATCCAAAGGATCACATCTTACTTTACTCTTAAGTTTTAGCTGGCAAACTTCCTACCATACATAATTGACTATAATTTGTGTTTTCTTTTCTTTTTATTTTTTCAGACAGAGTCTCACTCTGTTGCCCTCAGTAGAATGCCGAGGTGTCACAGCTCCTAGCAACATCAAACTCTTGACCTCAAGGGATCCTCTTGCTTCAGCCTCCTAAGTAGCTAAGACTACAGGCACCCACCAGAATGCCCAGCTATTTTTTAAAGATGGGATCTTGTTCTTGCTCCAGCTAATCTCAAACTCCTGAACTCAAGCAACCTATCTGCTTCGGCCTCCCAGAGTGCTGGGATTCCAGGCATCATGATACAATTTGTGTTTTCAGTTTCAGTTTCTGCAGTCCCATCTCAAAATGTCTAGCATTTTTGGTCACTAACTAACTTTTCCTCCTTATTTATAACCAGCACCAAAATTCAAATGCTTTCATTGCTTTCTTTTCTTCTGGATTATAAAAATATTAGACAAGCAGAGATTTATCAGCTGACCTCCCAGAAGTGTCTAGTTAACTCAATTTCTATATCACTATGACCACAGCCTGCCTTCCCAACCATCTTCTAATTGACATCAGGAAATCCCAAACCATTGTCCACATTCTTGATTTGGCAGGAAATCTGTACTATTTTACTTGGAAAAAAAAAAAGAGCACATCGAAAAATACTTTTGATTTTCCTCTTGCCTCCACTCCAAACACTAAATCCTTTGCACCCACTATGAGGTCATTCAATTCACTAAACATGCACATCATACACCACCACTTGATTCTACAGCCCCTTCTATTAGAAATGTCATGTTATTCACATAAACTTCCTAATTTTTTTCTGCATAAATTTTTTTCATCTAATAGTGATAACATTCCTGCTCAATTATATGCCTTACTTAGGCAAACTTATGGCCATACATTTTTAAAAAATAAAATGCAAACTTTCAGCATAATTAACAGAATTTTTACTATAGAATTTTTGTTGCATGCGAGGCTACACTGGTCAATAGCTACCATCTTCTTAAAACAGATAATTTATGTACAGTGTATTAAAATCATGTTTATATTTCCTTTTTGGTTTTTGTGTTTTCTTTTTTTGAGACAAAGTCTCACTCTGTTGCCCTGGGGAGAGTGCCATAGTGTCATAGCTCACAGCAACCTCAGACTCATGGGCTCAAGTGATCCTCCTGCCTCAGCCTCCCGAGTGGCTGGGACTACAGACACCTGCCTCAACGCCCAGCTATTTTTTAGAGATGGGGTCTCTCGCTCTTGCTCAGGCTGGTCTCAAACACCTGAGTTCAAGCAATCTACCTGCCCCACCTCCCAGAGTGCTGGTACTATAGGCAGGAACCACCATGCCTGGCCTCATGGTTATGTTTCTTCATCTTCAAAAGCAAATAGCCAGAGGTCTTAAATGCTTGGAGACCATAAGATTCTTAAAATCTAACAAGGTCATTTGATGCTATTGTGATTAACAAAATGAGGGACAATAAATAGCTAGCCATACTTAGAAATAACTTGTCTACTATTTTATTCATTTATCAAAGGGACAATATCTAAAGAGTGCAATAATCCAAAGGGTACTTACAAGAGCATTGCCATCAGTAGCCATGTATGACATCAGATTGGTAAAACAACAGCTGGAAAAGAAAAGATTTCCAGTTAAATATGAGATTACAGCAGTTGTAAAAGCATAGATCTCCTTGGGCGCGGGCAGAAAATATTTCTCTTGTGATCAACGAATTTCACAATGAAAACAATTCATTAAAAGGCTTTTCATTACGGAACTTAATAAACTAATTGTTTAAAATTGAGCCCTTGGCTCAGTGTCTATATCACAGTGGTTATGGCACCAGCCACATGCACCAAGGCTGGCGGGTTTGAACCCGGCCTGGGCCAGCTAAACAACAACAACTGCAACCAAAAGAAAAAAAAAAAAAAAAGCCAGGCATTGTGGTGAGTGCCTATAGTCCCAGCTACTTGGGAGGCTGAGGCAAGAGAATCGTTTAAGCCCAAGAGTTTGAGGTTGCTGTGAGCTGTGACACCATGGCATTCTACCCAGGGTGACAGCTTAAGACTCTGTCTCAAAAAAAAATAATAAAATAAAAAATAAAAATAAAATAAAATTGAGCTCATGAAATTATCCAGAATGTCACCTGTGCATTTGCCAGTATTCTTACACATTTAATATTACATGGTACATATTTCTGGAGAAGGAGAAATCTTTCCCTTTTCACGATGCACAATGCAATGTAAGATGCAGAAATATTTGATGCTTTCTAGTATCCAATTTCAAAAATGGAATTGACCCCCTGCCTCAGAAGTCCCAACTTTAATGTCAAGATGAGCCCCTTCCTTTTGATGTCTCAGACTTTGTGTGGAGAACCTGAAAAACAAGACGCTCTGTGGTTTCAAGAAAAGCAAATGAAAACAAAAGAAGAAAAGCCTTCATGTTTTCAGACTTCGACAAGCAAGAACTTGTTAAAGATCCAAAGCCACTGAAACTGTCCCCAAAGCAGAGAGCTTCTCATCTTTTTGCTGCAACACCGCAGGTGCAGATACACGCCCCGTTTCCCTTCTTCATTTCTTACACTAGTCCCCAACCTGTGAAGAATGGATGTCCCCATCGAATGTCCAAAATGCCAAATTTATATTATAATACATAGGTATGAAGAAGACATTTATTTGCAAAATGCAAAGAAAGAACCCACGATAAACACATTGACAAAATTCATTACTTAATTTTAATGGCTAAAATCTTAATTAAAAAAATTGAATCACAAGCTGGTGGAAATATCTGAAATATACATTTAATATAGAAGAACCATAATACAGTTACTATGTGCCAGTGAGAAAATAAGAAGCAAAGTAATAGAAGAACAAAAGAAGGAAAATGCAGATAAAAATACAAATGACTAATGCATAACCTCGCTCATAATACAATATATGCAAAATAAAACCCCATGACTCCGTATGTAGTCTTCAAGATTTGCAAAAGTAAAAATAAAAAACTAAGTGATAGAAGCCAAGACTGGTGGAGTGGAGATATGTTGAAAAGAATATTTTCACATGCTGTTTGGGATATCAAATTATTACCAACTTGATGGAGGGCCAAAACGACGACAGTCACATTGGTAGCTGACATTCACTGAACCTTTAATAACGGTCCTAAGCGCCACCTTACCAAACATCAAAAGAGTTTCACAATATGTCACTAATTTAAAAGTAGGTTAAAAATGCCCCCGGACACAATGGCTCATGCTTGTAATCCTAGCACTTTGGGGGACTGAGGTGGGAGGATCTCTTGAGGCTAGGAATTTGAGACCAGCCAGGGCAACATAATAGTACCCCATCTCTACAAAAAATAAAAATATTAATTTGGCATAGTGGTGGCATGTACCTGTAACTACTCAGGAGGCTAAGTCAGGAGGATCACTTGAACCCAGGTTCAAGGCTGCAGTGAACTGTGATCACACCATTGCACTCCAGCCTGGGTAACAGAGTCAGACCCTGTCTCTTAAAAAAAAAAAAAGTAAAAAAATAAAAAGATAAACTTACACATATCCACACTCATACATCAATGCACTAAGGTGGAGGGGAGTCAGAACATATTTTCAGTGAAATGTGTACAGTAACTATGAGACTTGGAATCACCTTTTTATTCCCCTATGTATTTATTTTCTATAATAAGCATTCATTTGTAGAATTAAAATGTTCAGATAAAATGATATAAATATTTTATTGACTCCTTACGGCAAGTATTTTTAGTGTGCAATTATTAAGATAATACATAATAAGCAACAGCTAGTTTGAATTCAGCAACATTTTGACTAAAGAAGGAAAAACACTGCAGAAGTTATGAGTACAAGCTTCGGATTGGACAAGGCTGGAGCTAAATCTCAATTTGGCAAATGATGAATTGGGCTAATAGCTGACATTCTGAGGCCTCAGGATTCCTTTCTGTGAAATGGTAAAGATAATAGTATTTCTATTATTGAGCACGCTAACCCTCAGGAAGAAGTTCTGTTGTAATCGAATGAGGAAATATCCTTACCATGTTCACTGCAGGGTCTAACATGTAACAAATTCTCAAGAAATTATTTTATTACCATAAAACATACTCATTCCTTACATAAGCATTTATTAAAGATCACCTATGTGTATGTTTTAAATAACATATAAAGCATCATTGTGAAACCTTTCCTGACTCTACTTAAATGGCTGATCAGCCCCTTCCCTTTAATAATATGATGGGTGAGTTTATTACATTTATTAATCAATTGGTATGTGTGAAGCACATTGATAATTTACATGCATCATGCCATGTGCTGATCAGAGTTGCTCTGTGAATAATATACGATAATTAGCCCCATTTCTTAGATGAGGAAATTTAGGCAATTTGGGTGAGGACTCTGGCATGGGAACGTGTCAGAATTCCAGCCCAGGCTACAGAGCCTGTTCTCTTCACCATCAGTACATTCCAGCTCTCCTACAAGACACGGTTCATAAATGACTCCACAGCGGCCAAGGTAATGTCACCTGACTCTGTCTCCCCAGTTGGACAATGAGCGCATTAAATGTGGTGGCCAAGCTCCATCGTCTTTATGCCCTGGCAGCTTACCCAGTGAAGCGCACAGACTGGGGAAAAGTTGTTAAAATAAAATGTTTAACTAATAGACTACGCCTTCAGATGACTTCATATCAGCAAAATTCTGAAACCTTTCACTCAGCCAGATTTCTAGAAATAAAACAAGCACCGAATTAGCAAGAGATGGTGGGAGGCAAAGAGAAAACATTCACCTCGAATTCTTCCTTTAAGCGTTGGGATTTGTCGAACCTGCACTACTCTGGCTGCTAACATTAGGCCTTTCTTGGACCTTTTATTATTATTATTAAATGATAGCTGTGTACATTAATGCAATCATGAGGTACAGTGTGGTATTTTCACACACAATTTGAAATATTTTCATCAAACTGGTTAACGTAGCCTTTGTGTCATTTTCTTAGTTATTGTGTTAAGACATTTACATTCTACTCTTAGAAAGATTCACTTGTACCCTTGTAAGATAAACCATAGAGGTGATCCTACCAATCATCCTCCCTCTACCCATCCCCCCTCCCCTCTCCCCTTTCTTGGACCTTAAGGAATCTTCCTTTTGTACATATTCTAGCTCCTTAGAACCGCAGTATGCCGTAAAGGTGTCCACACTGTCCGCACCTGTTGCTACCATCCTATTCCAAAGCACCAGCCCCTCTCTCTTAGATCACTGCCAGGGTATCCTAGCTGATATCCCCGCTTTCTCTCTGGCCATAATGGTGGGTTTTTTCCAATTCACAACTGTCCTTAAATATTCATCTCTGTCTTTAAATCCCTTATGTGCATATATAATAACCACTGGTCTTGATAAAAAGATCAGAGTCATGAAAATCTCCTAAAGGAGAGATTTTGCACTGGTGGACTCCACCTCCTCTTCAGCCCTTTCTTGGATCATTCCATGTCTCTTTTTCTCCATCTCCCTGACTCACTGGCTTTTCTAAATTCTTTGAACACATTTCTCCCTAGCTCAGAAACTGGATGCTTTTCCTCAACAGTCCTCACCCAAGATGACCTAAGCCATCGGATTCTTTAACCCTCGGGCAGAATGTCACTTAGTCAAGAAAATCTGCCCTGATCCTTGTGAGAAATCAGTCTCCTTTTATACACTTTCATATCACCTTATCTCCTATCTCTAGATGTTCTCATCTTTGCAATGATTAATTTGCAGTCTGTTCTTTAATATCTAATGCCTCACTATAAGATCCGTGTGCTCTAATGGGGGCAGCACTGTGTTTGAGCTCATCCACTTCTTTGTATAGAGGGTGATTCAATGGATATTTGTGGAGTAAATGAATTAAATATACAAACCATAAAACCAATAAGCTATAGATGAATTTCCATTAAAAAATCTATACATTCCATATTTTTGTTTAGTATAAGATTGCCATCGTGAATATCCCATGAAAAATCTCCTTCCCAGGCTGCAGGACGTGGTAATGAAACCGTGCCGATGTCAGACACTCTTCAGTCAGAGTGGGTAAAAATAATGCACACTCACTGGCCTGGGGGAGGGAGGTGGAAGGGAGAAAGCTTGACCAAGGATGCTCCTTTTGGGAGGTTATATGTGAGTGGTTCATTAATAATTTTGGAGCATTGGGACTTTGTTTCTTGAATTAGTCAACATACATAGAACCTAAAATTTTACCAAAATGATTCAAAGATAATTTGGGGCATCAAAATAATCTAATTCAACTCTTATCTCTCCTCTTCAATATAAAGTGTATAGCCATAATTTGGAACAATTTGGGAGTGAACTGGTGGTTATGGAAACACACGTCAATACATTTGATTATTTTTTATACAGTGAGAACTACTTCTCCTCACCAGGTTAACCAAAGCACACGGTATCCCTATGCTATAAGCTAAATAGACAGCTGCAAGGTTTTGATGAAAATATATCTGAAACATACGATAAATGTAGTTTGTGAAAAAGTAACTATGCTGGCAAAGAGGTCCTAAAGTAATGATTTTTTTGGTATTCTTAACTCTTTCCAAAAATGTCAGCTTAAACAAAATTCCTATAAATAAAACAGTTGAGGGTGG